ATTGATTTGTGATTATACGGGTATAGCAAGAGATAGAGAAGATAATATTAGGTAATAGGTAAATACATATACCCAGCTAACGCTAAATATTTATAGAAAGTGGCACAGTGAAAGAATCATCACAGAATACAAATGTCGACGAAATGTTCAGAATATTCTATGAATATTCCTTGTATATTTCACGAAAATCGCGAGCGAGCGAGCAGTACACATCTCCACCGACAGAGGGCCACGACAGGGAACATTTACTCGTTAACAAGAATCATCTAGGAAAGAATATAAGGAGCGCAGCATTTTACTTGTAAAATAAACCCTAAAATTGGGTTCCAAGGTGAAAGTTGGGAGTGTGTTTTTCAAAGCAAAATTTTCTTTAAAAGAAAAACTACCTTAAGGACGGGGATCGGACTTGGAATTTCTGTAAAAATAAAAATTTTGCGAAACATATATATGATGTTCTCAGAATGTTTTTTTGGGATTTTAGGAATCTTATGAATATTATTTGGCGTCAATTATTATGGTGTGTGTGTGTGTTTGTCATCATGAGGTAGTTTAATAATTTGTTGCTTTTAGAGTACACGAGACAAAAAGAAAGAACTGACTTTCTTAAGATTCGAATAATACGATTACATAATAGTTTTAAAAATCAAAATTATCTTTCTCTTTTGATTATTTAATTTCCATATTGTCATTACAATCTTAAAATGATATTTAATCCAGAAAAAACTTCGTTCTTTATCTTTAAAAAATGTAGGTCTGTTTTTAAATCTTACTACTACAGAGTATAAAGGTTAAGAAAGAGAAATGATGAGAATCAGTTGACTGGCTTTTGTTTAAAATTCTAACAAATCTCTTAGCATCTTTCTGCCGCTAATTACGAATGCGTTACGATATCGTTTATGCGAGCGAGCATCTTAATATTGTCATTCGATCCAAAGTCACATTTTAATTTCATACTTTGTATTACATATTATCGGTTATCGTTAACAATAGATATCACAAAATTTCTGTCAATTTTAAATTATTCTTGCGTTGTTAATTATAGAGAAGAAATGAGATTCGTTGTGTGTGTGTGTGTGTGTGTGTGTGTGTGTGTGTGTGTGTCCGCGTCGATTCGTTTCGCGAACGTTTGAATTATAAGATGACTGTTTTAATTTTATAGGCGGGCATTCATGTCTCGCCATGAACTTGAAGCACGGGCGTGAGCACAGAGCAGTCGCAGTCGCAGTCATTGACTTTGAAAATATCTGTGGAGAACGGTCAGTGGCGTAGGCGCCACGCGGGAGACTTTAACGGGTGATCAAACGAGGCGCGGAGGATCGAGACCACATCGGGAGAGCCCATACAATTTACGCGGTTTTTTTTTTTTTTTTATAACTCGCCCTCCCGAGAAGACGTAAAAATACACTGCAGGGATAAGTCAAGGAATTGTCTCCCGGAAGCCGTATTTCAGTTTGCATTAGTTATATTCTGCTATAGTATGACCTGTATGAGAGCAATCAGTATTAACATTAATACGTATATCGATTAATCGCGTTCTGATTAATTAATGATGTATCGATACGCGGTCAATAGTTAAAAATTGTTAAAAAGAGAGATAAAGATGACGTTCGTTCTGAGGAATGCGAGTATTGTTATCAGTGTTAATCAGTGTTAATGTGTGTACAGAGTGTCTCACTTGCCGTAGATTCTTTCAGCAATTCAGGATCAATTTACCTTTGCGTTTTACGAGAAGATCGAGGAAGCCAAGTCTAGTTTATAGTATATTTTCAATTGTTATGGTAATGTATATCCTTATGCTCAAATTTCAAATCAAAATGTTATTAAAGCGAACTTGAGAACTAAAATTAAATAGAGTAAAAAATATGTTTCGTAATCTATTTGATAATTCATAATTAATGTAATTTGCGAAAAGACTTTTTCGATCACTTATCATTTGTCTTGAGATCTTTTCTACTTACGAAGAAATCAGGATCACTTTAGATCCTGTCAGAGAATCAATATTTATTAAAAAAATTTATTAAAATTTTAATTTATTAAAAAATAAATTAAGACACTCTGTATAGATAAGCGAAGAGTTAAGTAAGCCCGTAATTATAGTTTTATCTCTCTCTCTCTCTCTCTCTCTCTCTCACTCACTCTCGTCGTCACACTTATCTCTACTATCGTAACACCTATCGCTTGCGACATTCGCACGCGTACTTGTATCGAAGCAATTCATCACACTTAACTTTTTTCTTTTATTAAAGCGACTGTGTCTGCAATAAGATGCATTCGATGCACGCGACAATAGTCGTGGAAAGCGTGAAGCACTATTATGCGGCATTTAGATATAAAATTAGAAAGGACAAAACTCGAGAACTTGATTTACCGATAAATGCGGTGCGGTATACAAATAAAGTTTGTTTTCGCACATTTAAATGAAGATTTACAAAATCAGCCTGGAAAAACCATTTTGTTAATCGGCTCTCGTGAGCATGAATTAAAACTCATTTTAGGAAAGCTCTCGTCGCCGTTATTTCTTCCGAGAACGACTTCCATTCGAGGAATAATTCAACATTCGTGCAAGTTTCTTTGAGGAGTTATAATTACATTACTTGAGAAACAAACTATGAAGAGAAATAAGCTGTCAGAAACGTTCGAAACTGAAATTGTCATTTTTCTTAAGTAACACGTAATTTGGTCTTTCCTAAACTGATTATCGTTACGATCGCGCGTATTCATTCCCGAAACGATCGAAGCAACCAAACGCTCCTCCATTCCGCTTCGTTCATCTGAAATATGCGCATCCGCCCCGTTTGATGGACTGTAGTTGTGGATAGGAATAATAAGCTCCCGATAAACGTCCCGATTCTCGAGACTGCAATCGGAGTATTCGGAGCAATGGCAGAAGGGGCACGTTATCCTTGCATGAATCGCCAACTTGCTACCACGTACAACATACCTGTTGCGAGTAACGAGAAACACGACGAGAGCGGCTATATGTCGGCGGCACGCTCCATTAAGAGACACTACACTGGCACTAGAGACTTCCGATGAGGGGCTCGATTTTCATATCCGCTCTCTTTGGAGATCAGCACGATGAGCACGATGAGCACGATGAGCACGATGAGCACGAGTCGGGCGAGTGTGAATAAATAAATAAATAAATAAATAAATAAACGAACGAACGAACGAACGGACAGATGGACGAGATGCGTTCATGTAATGATGGAGACTAAAGGTAAGCGAGCAAGATAATCGAAGTGAGATCGCAGGAGCGAACACAACCGGTTGCGATCTGACAGAGTCGCGCGGTAGTCACGAAGAGCGATCGTCGTCGTCGTCGTTCCGGAGGATGGAACCACGGTGAACCGGCACATTAACACGTCCGCTCGGCTTCGGAGTTCGATTCGGCTGGGATCGGGTGTGCCAGTCTGCAGTGCCAAGTGCCCAAGTGCCAGGTGGAAGCTGGCTGAGCGCGAAGGTGGTGGTAAGGTCTTACACGCTTCGGACCGCTTCGGCCCGCTTCCCCTGTCCCCACCGCGCTTCGCACGCTCGCTGCGGCGCGGCGGGGACGAGGGCGAGGGGATGGTACTTTGATACCATGCCCAACCACTGTACGTACACAACCAACTGTGACGGACCGACTGGTGGTCGTCAGCGTTCGCCAAGTCGAATCGCTTCCTGCAGTCAGGTAACAGATTACCTATCTCGCCGCTCACCTGCCACATGTATACCCCGTGCATGCGATCTCCGATACAGAATCGGCACTCGGCCAACAAAAGAAACTGATAATATTTCATTTTAACATATCTTAATGTCCCATTTTATATATATATATATATATATATA